AACTTGAGTTTTAAGATAAACACTCAAAACCAATAAAGAAAACTACAAATTTGACAGATCATAAGCCATGAAAAGACCAAAAAAGATGGGTTTTAGAATAAAATTTCAACTGTTTACCCTCTTTTTTGTCCAGAAACTCAGATTAAGGTTGAATTAATACATGTATATATATATATATATTTCAAAAAAACTCAAGAACATATTATACAGTGCAATTTGGACATTTTAACCCCAAAATATATAGTATATATATAAATAAATAACTATAAAAATATAAATCGTAAATATTAAAATTATTTTTTCACAGTATATATAATATATAATAATATAATTAAGTCAAAAACTATTCAATATTGGACTCATTTCGAAGATATTAACGAGACGATTATAATGGTGTAACTTGTTAWAATAAAAATGTATTTTTTAAACATGTTTTAATTGATATACGATTATGTATGTAAATTTGATAAAGGTTTAAAATAAAACATTTAAAAATAAAGGACGTAAAGTAAATTAATTAACTAATTATAGGGGTATAAAGTGTAAAATTAAAATTAAAAATTAAAAAAAAATACGATGAGAGGGTGAGTGTATGTGGGGAGAGGAGGAGGTGAAAAAGTGAAAAAGTGAAAAAATGAAAAAGTAAGGGTAATATAAAGGGTATCTTGGTAATTTAGTATTTTAAGATTTTTGCTAAATTTGCTTAATAGTATATATATATATATATATATATATATATATATGGTTGGGTTCCGTTGAGAATGAAAGTTATGATGAGAAACGTAAGAAGAGATTTTCACCATTGGATCAATCATAACTGAATGTCAACATTAATAAGGTGCATTAAGATGCACCAGACCAATCCCTTCTAAATGACAATTCATGGTAGACATGAAATTAAAAGTGATTAATAGTTCAGATCTCTACTTACGCTTCTTACCATAACTTTCATTCTCAAACGATTATTTGCATACACACACACACACACACACACACATATATATATATATATATATATATATATTTCTGTTTCAAGACATGTCTTGAAAAATGTCGTGACCTCATCATAACTCGTAAGACTTGAGACTTGACCTTGTTGCTACGTCATGCCTCATGTCAATTAGATACTTAGTAATACTCAAAAGACACAAGGATTAATATACCATAAATCACAAAGGGTGGTGTTCTTTCATGGTAGTAGTTGTTTTAACTGTCCTAATCCTTAGACAAAAGGTTATGAAAATTAGATCGGTGACGAACATTGGTTGCTGGTAACTGCATAATACACGCTAATTTAACGTTGTAATGAAAAAACATGACACGAAAATTGTTGAACGTTTTGAAAACGATATGTTGTATAATTATACTGTTTCGTATTAAAATTTTATTTTTGTGTATCGTATAAACATGAGATATAAATTATGAGAAAATTAGCTGGGACCACTAAGAGCACTCAACTGCAAGTTGAATTTTGTTACGTGCTATATAACAAAACATTTAAATCAAAACTTTAAAGTCTCGTTTGGTTTGTAGAATTGTAGTGCATTTGAAAGTATTTGGAATTGAATTCCATTTTAATTCCATTTCAATTTCATGTTTGGTTTGAAGGATTTTCTGGATTTAAAATCCCTCAAATATTGGATTTTGAAACCAATGGGTATTTGGCCTAGCGGAATCATAGTCTTTGGCCTCCTAGAAGGTCAGGGGTTCAAATCTCACCAAATATGAGGAAAGTGTGTGAGTTTATTTATTATATTTGCCGTAAATAAATATTATTTACTTCAAAATAAAAACATAGGATTTTGAAATCTCATGGGGTTGATTGGTATTTCATGGAATTTCGTAGGATTTGTATGTAATAATGGTTTAAAATATGTTAAAACATTTGTTTTGTAATAATCAATTAATAAAAAAATAATTTAATTATTTTTATAATTATATATAACTTTTTTTTGTAAATAATGGAATTCAATTCAATTCCAAATCCCTTAAAACAATTCCATCAAACAAAACGTCCTCTAAAAGTGCAGGGAATATGCATGGGTTTTTCTTTATAGAGGGGAAAGTTATTTTTGTCATTCGCATAAAATATTAAGGGAGCATTTGGAAGAAAAATGCAAAAAAATAAAAAAATAAAGCTTATGAAACGGTATGTTTCGACTACTTTCAATATGTCATCTTATGTCCATTCAAACAGGGTTTCTGCAATAAATCAAAAAATAAGTTAGTTTATGATTGTCAAACAATACATGAATACAAAGGAATGTTTGCACTCCCTCCATCCTAAAAATACATATAATGACACACAATTTTAGACATAGATAATAATTATATTTTTTAATCAACCAAAAGACAAATTTACCCTTAGTTAATTTCTCTCTCTCTCTCTCTCTTATAACTCTTAAATATTTGTATATTTAAAGTATCTAAAAATAAAAACTTTAGATATCTACCAAAAACACAGGTCTCCGTAAAGTCGTAATACCATGTATGGGGGATGACGCCTGCTCAGTGCCGGAAGGTCAAGGAAGTTGGTGACCTGATGACAGGGGAGCCGACGACACATATGATGCATGGTTATCGTCAGCTCGTACCGTAACGTGTTTAATTGAAAGTAAATTTGAGAATTTAATTATTTATTTTTGAAACTAGAGACGTATTTTTTTAGACGGAGAGTATGATTAAAGTAAAAGTTTGCTTAAAAATGAAAATTCCTAAATGTGGAAATCATTTTATAGAGAGGGGACCCCTGCAACTGGACATGTTGGTTTGGAAAGAAGATGTTGGGTTTTTCCTCTCATGGAAACATGCAGTACATTATTTGTGATCATTAAGACACAAGAAACATATATTCCTATAGTGGCTAATTGGATTCCAATTTGTTTCGAATTCACGATTGTGAACGGTGGTTACATAATTTTGGGTTCGGAAGAAAATAAAACGGTTAAGGCTAAAACCCTAAACCATTCAAGGTCTTGTAAGGCTCGTTCAACTGGGTTTTTGAATTTTTTGATAATATTTATAATAAGGTTTGTAGCATTTGCAAGGTTTGTACTTGGTCCCCCCCCTCCCCCTCTTTCTATATATATATATATATATATATATATATATATAGGACTAATCAAATGAGAATTAATTAGTTTGTTGTAATTGTGAGAACCAATATTAACCACAAATCAATAGATAAATTAGGAAATTTATAATTTTGGCAATTTTGAATTAAAATATTAATGCAAGGATATTTTTGGTATTTTAAAACTTTCCTCCCTCCTCTCTTCTCTCGCCGGCCACTGTCCTCCGGTGATACTACAATGGTATCACAATGCATCATATATGTGCTTGGGTATCACATTGATGTCGTTTGTGTGGTCGATCGAAGATGTAACACAGTGGTATCACTATGCATCTTATATATGATTAGGTATCACAATGTATCTTTTGTTTAACATAGTCAATATTTTTAGGTATCACAGTGGTATCATAGTGGTATCACCGGAGGA